CACCCACCCACAGACACACAGACAGACAGACAGACAGACAGACTCACTGACTCACACACAAACTCACGCTCGCTCACACACACACACACTCACAGACAGACAGACACACACACACACACTCATTCACAGACACACAGACAGACAGACAGACAGACAGACTCACTGACTCACTCACAGACACACACACAAACTCACGCTCAGTCACGCTCACACACACACACAAACTCACACTCACTCTCACACACACACACTCACAGACAGACAGACAGACAGACACACACACACACACATTCACAGACAGACAGACAGACAGACAGACACACACACACACACACACAGAGACAGACAGACTCACTGACTCACACACAAACTCACGCTCGCTCACACACACACACACACACACTCACAGACAGACAGGCACACACACACACACTCATTCACAGACACACAGACAGACAGACAGACAGACAGACTCACTGACTCACTCACTCACACGCTCACACACACACACACACACACACACACAAACTCACACTCGCGCTCACACACACTCACACTCACACACACATACACACACACACACACAACGCAGGCTGCTTAATGGGTGTGTGACAGTCTGACAGAGAAGAGAGAATAGAGGTGTCGCTTTGTCTAATTAAATACTAAATCTGTCTTTAGTAATTATATCAGCTGAATGACTTTTGCTTTACTAATAGCAGTGCAATAATCAAAAAATAATAATATAAAATTTAATATTACATTATATAATTATATACATGCATAACTATATACATAAACGTATATATTAATGTAATATTAATATATTATAATATTTGCCATAATTAAATAATAATAATAATATTTTAAAAAATTAATTATAAAATGATAAATTATTTAAATAAAAATGTATATATTAATTTAAAATGAATATATTATATTATTGATATTATACTGCCCATAATTAAATAATAATAATAATAATAATAATTAAAAATGATAATAGATTAATTTGCAATAATGAAATCTGACCGTCTATACAGAAAGTCACATGGTCAGTGACAACAACAACAACAAAAGTAGTATCTTCTGCTCACCAACACGGCATGTGCTTGATCAAAAATATAGTAAAAATTGTGAAATATTATTACAAATAAAAATAGCTGTTTTCTGTGTTAATATCTGTTAAACTGTAATGTATTTCTGTGATGCGCAGCTGTATTTTCAGCATCATTACTGCAGTCTTCAGTGTCACATGATCTTCAGAAATCAGTATAATATGCTGATCTGCTGCTCCAGAAACATTTCTGATTATTATCAATGTTGAAAACAGGTGTGCTGCACAATATTCTTGTGGAAACCGTGATGCATTTTATTTTTCAGGATTCAGATGAACAGAAAAGTTCAAAAGAGCAGCATTTATTAGAAATAGAAACATTATATGTCTCTTTTGTGAGTGTTGGCGTATATGAGGATATATATGCAAATGTATTGATCAGGTCACACTCACGGGTGATGATGTAATCTTGTGTCAGCGTCTCGGCGTGTTTCTCCTTCCTCTTGCTCTTGACCACACACAGCATCGCACCTCTGAAGAACAAACAACACACAAAAAAGGATATCAGCTTCTAAAATAAGAGAAAGCATGCTTTAAAATAAGCTAAACAACTAAAGACCAACACAGCAACTTCCACAATGTTTCTTATTTTAATTAATTCCCTAAACAACTGTTTTTTTTTTTTTTTAAAGAAAACCTGAATTCTCATCAACAAACATGCATTACATTTTTTTTTTTTACTTTTTAATAATAAAAGAAACAATTAGGATATCAGCTTCTAAAATAAAACCTGGATACATGAGGGAATTTTAAAAGTGATTTTTAGACCTGGAAAATTCATGGAAATTTAGAAACATCCTAAAACATCCTGACAATCTTAAAAAACGAACTGGAAATCTGAATTGGAGAATTGTTATTATTATTATATCAATTAATTATATTAGCACTCCTAGTTTTAGTTAAAAACATAAAAGCATTTGCATGATCACTATCGTGCAAACATGCTGTATTGAAAAGAAATGCATGAAAATTCATGGAATTTAAAAAAAAAATTATATTTACATGTGTGATTTTCAGATAATGGAAATTAGTGAACTTCTTAAAATGTCATGGTAATTTCTATAAATATAAATATTCTAGTCATGACAAGTTCTAAAATATTTTTTCGGGTATAAATTGCTATTTGAGTAAATAATAATAATAATAATAAACATGAACTAAAGGAAAGCTGAATTAAGTAATTTAATTATTATTATTATCTGTATTATTTTAATATATTATCACCCCTAGTTTAAGAAGAAAAAATTTATTAAAACAATAATAATAATAATGTTATTATAATTATATATATTTCACAGAATTCTCTGTGTTTAAAGGTGATTTCTAAACCTGGAAAAGTCATGGAAATTAATACACATCTTTAAAAGTTATGGAAATTTCTATTATAAATATATTTTTCTAATATGTTATTATAAGTATAAATATATATTCTTGTTATATCAAGCTCTAAAATACTTTACCAAGTAGAAATAGTTATTCGTGAGTAAAAAAAAATAAGCAGAAACTACTGGAAAATGTAATATGTTTAATATTTTAATTTGATATTAATTATTTATGTTACATTTTATATAGAGTGGCATGCGAAAGGTTGGGAACCCCTTGCAGAATCTGTGAAATTGTGAATAATTTTAACAAAATAAGAGAAATCATACAAAATGCATGTTATTTTTTTATGTAGTACTGTCCTGAGTAAGATATTTTACATAAAAGATGTTTACATATAGACCACAATTATTAAAATAACCCCCTTCAAAAGTTTGTGAACCCTTGGTTCTTCATACTGTGTGTGTCACCTGGATGATCCACGACTGTTTGTGTGTTTTGTGATGTTTGTTCATGAGTCTCTTGTTTGTTCTGAACAGTTAAACTGAGCTCTGTTCTTCAGAAAGATCCTCCAGCTCCTGCAGATTCTTCAGGTTTCCAGCATCTTCTGCAGATTTCAACCCTTTCCAGCAGTGACTGTAGGATTTTGAGATCCATCTTTTCACTCTGAGGACAACTGAGGGACTCAAACACAACTATTAAAACAGATTCAAACATTCACTGAGGCTCCAGAAGGAAACATGACGCATTAAGAGCAAGAGAAAACTTTTGAATTTTGATTTTGAAGAGGATGAAGATGAAGATGTCCAAATTTTTCTTTGGGGTTTTTTTTTGGTTGGGATTTTTTTCCCCATTTAGTTTTGCCCTTCAGAAGCATCTCAGAAGACGAAATAAGTCAAATTTACCTTGATCTTCAAATTAAAGGTGCAATAGGTGATTGTCTTCAGAAACATTTTTTGTTATGCTG